TGAGTCTCTGTAGGGAGGACTTTCATTCCGGCGAGTTACTTTGTGGGTCACCCTGGGCCCCGTGAGGAGAAAAGGAACCCCCTGAGGGACAGGGCTGAAGACTGACACTTTCCCAGATGACAAGACAGCTTTGAGGTGGGGTTTCCCTTGCTTGGTGAAGGGGTGACTTGGCTAAAGGCCTGACTTCCCTTCAGAATGAGGCTGTCCCTCCTCCTGGCTCTGTCAGCTATAAAGATGGACATGCTAGGTCTCTAGAGTCTGCAGGTCCAGGCATGTCGCATGGTTCTCTTCCAGTTTCTGTTCCAGGACATGAACCAGGGCAGTCCTGTGCCTCTGCGCCCATGGCCTGAAAACCCACATTTCTCAGTGCAGAGCTAGCTGAGCCCACTTGGTTGGGGTGTGTGTGTGTGTGTGTGTGTGTGTGTGGTTGGTTGCTCTAGTACCTCTGAGGTTCTGCCCCCATCCCTGGTTCTTTCAAGGAACAGCCTACTGGAAAGGCCTAGCACAGGCTGGGCAGAGGCCTGCGTCCTGGTGCTGACCTGCTGTGTGGTCCTAGCACACAGCCCTCTGGGATTCCTTTTTTCTCTTCTGGAAGTAGGAACTAGGTGTTTGTTGTTTGTTTAGAGATTTTTGTGATAGGGTGTGTGTGCTCATCACAGAGACAGAGAGACAGAAAGTGAGAAATCACTCTCCAGGGAGGATAGCCATGCCGCAGTCCCTTCTCCTCCATTCTCCTCTCGGGATTTTGGGCATGCATGCACACATGCTCAGCTTGAGTTTCAGGCCTCCAGGTCCAGGACTCGAACTGCAGCTGGCCATGTGGGAGTCCAGTGACGTAACCATTATGCCATCTACTGGTCCCTGGGCTAGGTGGTTCTCAATGCCTAAAAACGGGGAGTGCTGGGAGAAGGCAGAGCTGGGCACTGCAAGGCAGAAGGGCAGAGCTGTGACTCAGTTGCGCTAGGTGGAGTGGGAAGCTGGAGGCCAGAGCTAGCCATGCCTCAGCCACTAACTTACAGTGTCACAAGCCTCTGCCACTTGCTGTCCCTTTGCAAAACTGGGGAGTGTTCATTCCGTCCATAGGAATTTACTGTGGGCCCTTCTGGGACACCAGGCCATCAGACCCTGGTCCTGCCTCCTAGGAGAACACTCAGGCAGGATGAGGGGTGGGGTGAGAATGTGGCTGTGTCAGACATAGCCCCAGATGTGGCCTCTGGTCTGACTGTGAGAATCAGTGTGCTTCCTGAAGCAGCTGCAGCTGAGTGTGCAGGTGGGTCGAGGGAGACGTTCCAGGCAGAGGGAACAGTGTCAGCAAAGGTCTGGTGGTGGAGAGGAATGCCATGGGCAAGCGGACAAGGGGCAGGTGCCTGTGGGCAGAGGCCCTTGAGTGCCACTGGGGAATGAGGAGCCATGGGACAGATAGACAGTCATGGGGAGGCAGCACCTGCCTCAGAGGGTTAGTTGGGCTCAGAGCCTTCTGGGAGTCTGGGCTGGGCTGACCTGCTCCAGGGAGTGGTCGTGTGGTGGGCAGCACGAGGAGCCAGCACTTCCCCTGTGGGGTAATAGCTCCCCCAGCAGTGCTTATCTGGCCTACTAGGAAGTGGCTGGGGCAGCCTCAGAGGTCAAAAGATGGGACAGGCCCAGCTGCAGAGGGTGCCAAGGAGCCTCCTGGTCAAATCTTAAATTCCGAGACCTCTGGTCCAGACTTGACACACCCATCCCCTGCCCATCTCCCTAGGTGGCCCTGTCATGACCTCCTGTGTTCTCAGGCCAGGCTTCGGCAGACAGTGCACCAGCCCACCGCTCCGTGCCCCTGCCAGCCCTTCCACAGTGCTGGGAAGGCTTCCTGGGAAAGGAGTGAGGCAGAGGAGGGGGACTTAGGAGGATACTGGCAGCTCCCCTGATAAGCACCTGCTGCCAGCCAGGCATTCGTAGCTGTCTGTTCTCATCTCGCGGAGGTTTGCTGTGCGTTTCCCGGGGACTGTTGGAGCCTCTGGGAATACAGCTGTGCAGACGGGGCCTGTGTCCCAGTTCAGGAGACTAACGCCTGAGTAAATACGCAGTACAGTCTCCGGCAGCCATAGCGATGCTGGGAGATGGAACAGGGTGCGGGGCAGACTGGTGGGGGACTTAGGCTTTGCCTTGAGAAGGCGCTGGGAAAAGTGTGGGAGCATGTCAGGCAGGTGTCTGGGCCAGAGCATCCCAGGCAGAGGCAGCTCAAGCGCCCAGCCCTGAGGTGGGGCACAGGGTGTGTGTCGCAGAGACCCCCAGGAGGCAGGGCAGCAGGGGCAGGCTGCACTACCAGGGGCCTACATGCCAGCCTGGCTTTTCCTCAGAGAGAGGCGGGAAGTTGCTGGGGATCTGTTCGGAGGAGATGTATGTATCCCTCACATGCCTGCCAGCTGGAGCTCTCCTAACCCCACGTTACCCAGAGCTGTGGTGGGTGTTCCCAAGTCTCAGAGCTAGGGGTCCTGTCTGCGCCCGCCTGGCCCTGTGTGTCCTGAAGCATCCTCTACTCTCTGGCCTCCTGTTGTCTGGACAGTCAGGACAGATGTCTAAGCTGGCCTTTCAGGCCATCTCAATCTGTACCCAACCTCCTCCTGCTGCTGACCTGTGTCCTCTCGGGGCCCTGCCTGTCTCCTCACTTTCCCCTTGGAGTAGTTGGAGTCGGGCGGGGGTGGGGGACAGGCAGCCTTTGGTTCAGATTTGGAGTTCCAGATGGTCTTGAGCAAGTTACTTCACCTCCCTGGGACTCAGTTTCCCAGTTGTAAACTGGGCTCCAACCAGCTGCTTTCTAGATTGTCCTGAGGGCGGCATGAGGCAGTGCGCGTGGTAGGGTGTGCATCAGGTGGGCCTAAGTCCTCCACAGCACCGCCTTTTGGTGCTTTCCGAGGCAGGCTGGATCAGGTGAGTGGGTTAGGAGTTTCCTGCAGCCCTGCTGGAGGCTGATCAGAGAGGGAAGAAGACAGTGAGTCTTTCCTGTCTGTCCGCTGCCTACATGGTGGGGGAGGCTGTCACACAATACATTGGTGGCCAAAGTCTACAGAGTTGTCTCCGTGACTCCCTCGCTCCCTTCCAGCCCCTGCCCTGCCCTCCTGGTTACCTCCCCCGACAACATGGCATCTTCCTCTTTCAGGTGCCAAGCTCCTGACTTCTCTGTTCCAGGGTCACGTAGGGAGAGAGCAGGCCTGGGGCCCTGTTCCTCCAGGCCACTAGTTCTGGAGTGCAAAGGAGCCTCCTGAGTGCCTCCTCCTCAGTGGGCAGGTCAACTCAGGGGAGCCAGCCTGGCAGCCTTCTCTGCCTCCTGGGCCCTGGGGCGTGTCCACCCCACTGCCTGTGATCCTGTGGTCAGCCCTGCACACTCCCACCCTCCTGTGGTCAGCGGGCCCTTCCTGTTTCTGCCTCCTGCTGTGCTCAGAGCCACTCTGGCTCCCCTTGCTCTGGCTCCCCTTGCGGGCTGAGGTTTCAAAGGAGTCTCTACCTGGTGTCATCCTTTGGCCCCTCAGGCCTCCCCCTGCCTAACACCGAGCTCTCTGTGCCTTTGTGGGGGAGGTGCCCCATAATTCCCCAGTCCCTTAGGACATGTTGGTGACTGAGGGGCCAGGCCAGCAGAGTTCAGGCCACTAGTGCTCCTGGTGGAAGGCCCCAGGTGTCCCTAGGTGTGGGATTGGTTGTGTCACCCGTGGGATGGGAGGAAGGGCCTGAGCCCAGGCCTGGAGGGTGAGAAATAAGGAGAGGGAAAGGAGGATCCAGGTTAGGGGAGTGGAGGGTAAGGGCAGGGACTCTGCCTTGTATGGGACAAGCAGGGATGTAGCGGGAGGCAGGAGGCGGAATCGGGGATCGGGGGGCTGGGGTTGGCAGGACCTTGGAGGCTTGGGTTTGCGGATTGGCTTCTGTCATTTTCTGTTTTGAAGTCTGAGGACTGCACTCTGCCTTTGGCCTGTGCAGGGGAGACCTTGTTTGGTTAGCCAGTCTGTAGACCCTTAGGTGAGCTAGGGACTTACAACCTCATGGCAAACGGGGTCTAGACTGGAGCCACTATGGTCGGGGCCTGCCATAACCTTGGGACTGGGAGGTATGAGCAGAGGAGTGAGTCTGGTCTCCAGTCCAACTGTGGTGACGTATCATGGTCATCTAGGAGCCACCTTTTTTTTCCAAAGAATTATTTTAATTTTTATGAATTATTATTATTACTATTATTATTTAATTTGACCAGAGAGACAGAGAAGGAAAGTGAGAAAGCAGGCCACCAGGTCCAGGACTGGATCCATGGTCGGCCATGTGGGAGTCTAGTACCTTAACTGCTGAGAGCCACCACTTTGAGGAGGAAGAAACAGAGGGTCAGTGTGACGTGATTGGTCTGACACTTCAGACCAGAAGTGGAGAACCACAACTGGGACCTAGGCTTGCCTAGTGCCCTGGGTTCTGGTGGCTGAGGCCTGGAGTCTGGGGAAGTGCCTACTGGCTCCTGGCCCCCTCTAGGTAGCTGAGGAGGCTCTTATTTCACGAGGTCCTGGGACCCCGGCTCAGCCCTTGTGCCCCAGTACTCCAGGGACCACCGAAGATGGCCACACCAAGGTAGGAGGGGCAGGGAGAATTACAGGATGGGGAACAGGGCTGCAGCCCGGCAGCAGGCCCTAGGTATGCTCTCTTGGAACCAGGAGGCTCTCTCTTGAAGCCAGGAGGCTATCGCCGCCATTCTGACAGGAACTGGCTTCTCTGCTTAGGGATCAGTGAGTCGCCCAGGAGGGCTGCCTGCCTGGTGGGATCGGAGCTTCTGCAGGGGCCAGGGTGGCCACTTCTGCACCTTCTGGGCTGGGAACCCAGCCCCCACCTAGTTCCTCATATCTACCGGAAGCAGCTCCAAGGCCTCTCGCCTGAGTTCGCGGAGTCCTGAGAACGCCCAGGAGGGCTGCAGACCGAGGTGGCCCTGCCCATAGGTGATTGGGTCGGGGAGGGGGCGGCAGGGAGGCATCGGGCATCCTGGGGTGCTGGGAGTTGTGCGGTTGGGTTGTTGGGGGCAGCCTGAGGCCTGAAGGCTGTGTGTGGAGGGGCCGTGAGCTATGTGGCTGTTGGGGTTGGGGAGGAGCTGTTTGCGGCTGTGGAGGTGAGTGGCCGGCGAGGTGTGCTTTGTGGTAAGGGTAGGGTGTGGTCTGTAGACCCCTGCGTGCCGGCAAAGCTGGCTCTGTGTATTCTTGCTTCCTGTTCTGGGCTCTGAGGGGTTTCCTGAGGTGTGGACACTGGCGTCCCTGCCCACCTGCCTACGCTGGGGGCCCAGGGCCCAGCCAGAGAGGGATGGCGTGGAGCTGTGCAGGGGAGGAGCTGGTGGGGGACAGAAAGGCTAAGTCTGACTCTGGGCTCTGGCCCACCTTCCTCCCCTCCTGCTCCCTGCAGGGCTTGGTCTCCTTGAGCCTGGACCAAAGCTCTGCGTGGAGGGGGAGCAGGCAGTGCAATCAGGGCAGGCATCCTGGCAAGGAGGACTCCAGAGCTGGGTGTGGAAGGGATTAGGACCGTGAAGGCTTCCCGGACCCAGGGCTGACTCACTCATGCAAATCAAAATGCAACGGAGGCCCAGGGAGGCTTTGGACAGGGCCACGCGACCTGCATGAGCTGGCGGGCCCTGCAGGTGATGGGCGAGTCCCCGAACTTCTCTGGGTGACTCTGTACCTGCTGAGCTCTCCTGTCCCCACTGGCCATGTCCTTTCCTGCACTGGGGCCTTATGCTCCCGTCCCTTTTGCTTAGAATAGCTCTCTTCCTTTCTCTGCTTGGCAACTTCCTATTGATCCTGCAAGGCGTCAATCAGGACTCCCCTCTGGAAACCTCTGACTGTGCCAGGCCGAGGCAGTCACCTCCTCCAGAGGCCCTAACAGGTGCCTGGGTGGTTTCCGCCCCACCTCACACAGCCTTCACAAATGGGATAGAAACCCAGGCTGTGGGGTAAGAGGATGCGTGAGATGAGGTGGAGCTGGGACACATGGCGGGCTCTTAGGAGACCAGGGGAGCTCAGCGTGCCTGTCCAGGCCGAGGCTCTGGGTCATCAGGCCGGGTGGTGGAGCGGGTGTCACTAGTCAGGAGGTGGGGATGTCCCGAGGGAACTGCTGGGCTGGGACAGAGGAGGCGCGATAAGGTTTAAACTCTGCCCTTGGGATGCTCTGTTAGAGAACAGAAGGGAGAAAGCTTTGGCTCCAGCAGAGGGGCTCAAAGCCAGACCAGAAGAAGGACTGACTGGCAGGATGAGAGACTAGACAGCACTTACCTCTGTTCCGGGTGCCAAGGGGTTTCCGGGCCTGGTCAATAAGTACCCTTGCGAGCCCAGCCAGGTCCTGGACTCCATTGTCAGTGGTGGGGGTACAAGCAGGAGTATAGACTTAAGGGTACTCCAGCCTCCATTGGTGGTTAAACAGAGGTGGACCCCCAACAAATGGAGCAACTGGAGAGAGCAGAAACAGGGCTGAATTGTGTGGCTTAACCTCAGAGACCTAGGAACCTGAGGAGGCAGACAAGGAGGACTTCCTGGAGGAGGTGGCCTGGCACTGGAAACTGAAGGGGGAAAATGTGACTATTCACTCCTTGCCAGCAGGCAGTGTCAGAGGCTCCTCGTATGTCAGGCTGCTGTGTGGTGTAAGAGTGACACAGCCTGGTTGGAGGATGGGCCAGCCCAACTTGGCTGGGGCTTAGAGCATGGCACTGACAACTTGCACAGGTCACTTCCTCCTCCCTGTGGGAGTTCACTTCGCCATCTGTAAACATTAGGACGGGACGTGTAGGGTGAGGAGCACTTCTGGGCCCAGAGAACCCTGGAAGGTCTTTTTTTTTTTTTTTTTTTTTTTGAGAGGTTT